GGGGGGGGGACAAAAAAAATGGAAGTCAAATCGTCTGAAAACAAAACAAAAAAAGCTCTCTACAGATATCTGCGTGTGTCCTTTTCCCCCTGGAGAAGGTAGCTAAGGCTCTCAAGTGGCTTCTAATAAATTCTCTCATGTCTTTGCGGATTATATCCACTTACCAAGCAAGAACTCCTCCTTTAGTAGGTAGGTAAGGTGTAAGAGAAAGGGAAGAGCGGGCAACGTGAGTCCATCGTTAGAGTCGAAAATGACAAGAAAAAACACACACCTTTCTGTACATCCTCACACTTGGCCCTGATCTTTGAGTTTTGGTTTTTCAGTGTTCTTGACAGGTGAAGCATCAGTTCTGTTTGGTTTTCTCACTAAGGGGACCTCAAGCCATCAACTACCCTCATCAGGCCCTTAATGCCCAGGGTGGATCAGACGCAAATGGAAGCTAGTGTTTACATCTGTCTGGGTGTCCAGCTTGGGGGGACACAGCGAGGGTGTGCTTGCAGCTTTCGGAGGGGCTTGCGGACTTGGTGTTGGGGTGACTGGGAATGAGGCAGGGTTCCCAGAATCCTGTTGGGGGCTGATCTAGGACAGATGAAGGCATGAAGGAGGTGAAGAGAGCCAGCTCTGGGAAGGCAAGGATGTTTTGCAGCACAGCGGGTGGTTTTCTTTAAGTGTTCAGACCAGCCTCATGGCTGCCATGACAGCGGGTTCAGTTCTGGCCCCTGCCAACAGTACCATGCTTATTTAGCTATGGGCAAGAGGGATCCCTACCTTGGGCCTCTTCCAGTAATAACCACCCCCACTGGGCAAGAAATCTGTGGGGCCAAAAGGGCACTACCTGGAAACCACTTCCCCGAGACCACTCTCTGGGTACCTGAGGTGGCAGAGTTCTGGTCTACAGATTTATCCTTCTGGGAAAGGCGGTGCTTCAAGTGTGCACACTGCTAGGTCCAAGGGTGGTTATTTGGACAGAACTTGGATGTTCAGACTGAGGTGTCCTGTGCAGGTGTGGGAGGCCCATCAGGGAGAAAGGGAGGGGCCGGGGCCTTGGGGCAGAGTCTACCCACACCGCCGTGTTTTGGCCTGGCACTCTGAGGGGTCTGAGATTCTAAATTCAAATCTGACTTCCCAGATCATTTTAAAGGTACGATAGGAGACCATATGTGCCAAGATAGGAGAACATATTCACTTAAGTTTGCTGGCTTTATTTATAAACATTTAGACATACAGTATGTGGGCCTCCCTCTATACTCTTGCCCCGGCTCACAAATACGAGTGCAGGCCTCACCGTCATGAGCCTGCTCCCCGCCCCCTCCCACTTTATCCCATGCACCTCAGGCCTACAGGAAGGGGACTTCTGGGCTTTCATAAGGAACTATTTCTGCCTTCTCAGTAGCAGGTCATGAGGCTGTGACAGCGAGACAACAGAACTGTGAGAATAACAGAGTTCACTCTGGTAGCTTAGGGTATTGGCTCCTGGACTGGGGAGACAGGACCTGCTTTGTGGATTCTCCCAGGAGGCTTTGCACACAGGATGGTCCAGCTTTACTAAGTTTTACCCAGTGCAGCTGCCACTGTATCTGCTTGCTGATATGGCTAGCTTTACTTTGGCAAGAGGGACCTCAAAATAAGGTTGCCCAAGTAGAATTTTCTAGAGTGAGACTTCTTTCAAAAAAATATGAAGGCCCTGTTTCCTTTTTTTTTTTGTTTTTTTTTAGTAGGCCAATTTCAGATGAGTTTTCTCTTGCAAATAGAAGACTCCTGGGTCAGCAGGCTGGGATGGATACAGGGCTAGGGTAAGAGAAAGATGGTATAGCTAATCCTGGAATGCCCCCCACCCCCACAGCCCAGACGCACTGACCTTGATTCTCTCCCCCTGCTGGTGGGGGAGAGATTCTCCAAAGTGGTGCCCTTGTTCTGGGGTGAGGAGGTGGTGAAGGAGTTCCCTGAATCAGAGGTGTTGCCACAGTTGAGCTCCCGGCTCTTGTTTAGGCCCCCAACAGGGCTCCCCTTCTCCTGCCCCCGAGAGCTGGCTGAGCTGATTTGTGTGGAGGGTGGCGAGGAGGTGTCATTCCCTGAGTCGTACTCCTGGGAGCATCCTCGGGGGGCGGTGAGCCGGCTGGCTGTTTTGGTAAAGAGGTCAGCAGCAGACCCCGACCCAGTGATCTGAAAGCAAAAACACCCGTTGGACACCGGCTGATTGCTGGGCCTGTGGGCTGTGTCTAAATAACCAAGAAATGTTTACCGTCATGATGCACTGTAACGAAAGGAAAGGGAGAGAGAGAGGAGAGGAAAGAAGAGACGCCAAAAAACAAAAGCACAAATTCCTGAGAGAATACCACAGAAAGGAGATATTGTTTTACCCCCTGCTAGGATAACTGGAAGATTTAGCTATCATGCAGAGAAAAAGCATGCGATCCAGATTAAACAAAAGAAAAAGGAAATCATACAGAATTTAATTTCTAACAAAATAACTCAAACAAAAGAGAAAACTTAATAGAAAGGGTGTGTGTGTGTAAAACACCCTTAACCTAAAACAATAGTAAAAATAAAGGAAGGGGAAGGAGAAAAAAAGAAATGGGGCTGTGGGCCTGAAAACAATACTCTTGGAACTTAAAAAAGGAGATAAAGCCAAAATTTTAAACTTCAACCAAATCCTCAAAGAATTTGACTTTTTTTTTTTTTTAAAGAAAAAGTTGCCTGAAGAGAACCCTAAACAAATATCACATGGGGAAAAGAAATGAAATAAAGAC